TAAAAAATACCATCTAACTCCTTCCCATCTAGGTTGGGTTGACCCTGGCTGGTTGTCAGCTGCTCACCAAAGCCATTCTGTCACTCCCCTCCTCTGATGGCCTGGGGAGAAAAAACATAATGAAAGGCTTCTGGGTTGAGATAAGGACAAGGAGAGATTGTTCACCTATTAATTACTGTCATGGACAAAGCAGACTCAGCTTGGGGAAAATAAATTTCTTACCAATCAGGACTAGGGAAATGAGAAATTAAAAACAAATCTTTGAAAACCCCACCTTCTCTCAGCCCTTCCTCATGGTGCTACCTTCTTCAGGCACAGCCTGCTCTAGCCTGGTACCCTCACGGGGTCACAAATCCTGCCAGGAAACCTGCTCTAGTGAGAGCTCCTCCCTACATGGGGCCACATGTCCTGCCAGGACCCAGCTCCAGTGTGGAATTCCCATGAGCTTGCAGCCACTTTTGGGAATCCATTTGTTCCAGTGTGGGCTCCTCAAGGGGTTGCAGGTGGAGCTCTGCTCTACCTTGGATCTCCTTGGGCTGCAGGGGCACAGCTGCTTCACCATGGCCTGCACCACAGGCTGCAGGGGGATATCAGCTCCAGCACGTGCAGCACCTCCTGCCCTCCTTCTGCACAGCCTCAGTCCTCTCTTCTCTAGCTGTAGCTGCTGTTGCTTGGTATGGCTTTTTCCCTTTATTAAATACGTTATCCCAGAGGTGCTGTCATCATCAGCCTTGTCCAGCAGGAAGTCCATCTTGGAGCTGGCTGGCACAGGCTCTGTCAGATATGTTGGGAAGTTCCCGGCATTTTCTCACAGAATCCACCCCCACCCTCCTCCTGCTATCAAAAACTTGCCATAGGCTTTCCTAATTGCAAAAATGCCTCATATAAAGGTTTGTGGTTTTTCCTTTCTCTGTTTTCTAAAAACGACTGGTATTATAAAGATGAGTATCCCTTAGCCATAGAAAATGAAAGAGTTATGTAGCTCTGAAGAAACAGGACCAGGATAGAGTGTGTAACTGTCAGCTTGAAATACTAAACAGCACTGGGGTACTTCCAGTACAGATTCACTGCATGTCAGTAACAGATCACATTGTTCTGCAGAATCACTTCCGTGACTGGAAATTATCATCACCAAGAACAACCTAGGTTCTGTAAAAACATCAAGTTAAAACAGATATTATACCTGAAATAAAACTCAAGGTCACACTGTAAACACACATTAGTGCACCACATATACTCCACATTTGCTGCCCAAATACTGGTTTTCTTATGCTTATACATTCTGATTTAAATGCCACAGTAATGACACTGTAGTCATAGAAATAGTCAACAGGCCAAGTCTGTTTTAATTACAATTACAGATTAGAGTCTAATTCCTAGTCCTTCCTATCACATCCTTTTATTCCCATGCCAAAGAAAATACGTAGTGAGGCATTTATGTTGGTATGTATTATCCTCCGGATTACATGTCTAGCCTAATAAATTCATTAACAAGACAAGTAGTACAAATGTTGCCTCTGCATTTCTTTCACTAAAGCTCATTATTTCCTTTTCTTCCTTACTTAATTTGTCTGTGTTGGAATGCATTCAGCATTTTTTCAATTTTCAGACACCAATAAAATGGTGGGCTGGACACGTACACCAGCACTGACAGCCAGGAGCAGCACTATTGCTCTGCTTATGCATCCTTCCTGAATGGGAAAACTGGGTCACCTGATAGTCCAGATTCTCCACGTGACAAGCACAGGGCAGGATGGGTGGAAGACAGCCAGCATAGTGCTTCTTCAGCAGAACAAACAAAGAAGAAACCAATATGTGCAAATGTATGCATACTTCAAAATTGTGAAATAAATTACAAGGGGAATTTCTCAGAAGTGAGGAAAAGAATGAAGAGGAAAAAAGAAAAAGGAAATCTAAGTTTTACTAAGGAAAATAAAACCAAACCAACAAACATATAATGAAAACCACAAAGAGACCCCCAACAAACCGTGTGAGAGTAAGTGCCTATAATCTAAGTTTCAGCCGAAGTAAAACTTTTTGTTTTGCCATAAACTAGGTTCAGCCACTTTCCTCACAGAAAGGTTGTGTATCATGCCTTGGGTCCAGCAATGGCAGACATACCCATGTAAAGAGCAGTGATGATGAGGATGTTACCCACCCCTGTAGTCTAATTACTTAACTGTGATCCAGGCATCAGTATGGCAACACTGCTGAATGCAAAGCCAAAAACCAGAGAGAATACTATTCAAAAGTTAAGACACTTATATTTTGACTGTTCTTTTCTTCAGAAACAATGGAAAATATTCCTCCTTCCTTAGAGATCTGCGAAAGTCCCAGGAAAACCCAAGAAAACCAGCCCAAATTCAGTGTTGATCCTGTTGCAAGCAAGAGGCTGGACTAGAGGATCTTGCAGCCTCACCAATCCAATGACTGATTTTTGTGAACTGCCTTTCTACAACCTTGAATAGCCTTTAAAGCTGCTTTCAGAACAGCAGAAACATCTAGAATTCATTGGAAAATCAGCACTTCATAAAGTTGCAGCTATGTCTGTACACTGCCCTCTTCCTCATCTAGCAAACCAGTGGCTGATGCTGCCTCACACCGCGCCACATCCGCCCCCACTTCTCCACCACCTTGGAAGAACGAGGTGCCTTCTTCCAAACTCGTTAAATGACAGGCATCATTCCAGCCAATTCAGCTAAAACAGCACAAAGTTGCATGTTGATTAAAATCACACACTTCAATGAAGTTTAATGGGCTGGTGGATTATTTTTATAAATCTATGGCAGATCAAACAATTACAATTAAACCCAAAATGGGTATATGTGTACATGCATACATAAAGCCAGTTTAAATAAATACAAAATTTCAAATATATCATCAATTTATATGTACAGAAGGCTGTAGCTTGGCCCTCTGGGATCCTAACATTCTCTTTCATTAACTTTTTTACCACTGAGGACTCTATTTTATATGCAAGCACTAATACATGAATCCGTAAATACCACCAATATTTAATTTTCTACAAAGTATTTATAAATTACATCAAGTCAGGACAGCCGTGGGTAGACAGGGCATGTCACTGAAGTATGCAACTCAGACTCGAAAAATAATCCCCATTTATTTCAGAAACAGTACATTTAAGAAATACTTGACCTGTGCAGCCACAGACTCCATAAATAGTTTTGTGGATAATAAATTATCCACAAAATAAATTAATACTAAATAATTAGTATTGTGCAACCAAACCCACAACACCCACAGGTTTCAAAGTGCTTAGCAAGACAATAGAAGATTATGGCTCCCATTTCACAATGGGAACAGCTGAAACAGAAAACTCAGGTGGCTTGTCTGAGAACTTACTGAAAATCATTGTCATAAATGTGGAAAAATGCCTGAGAATCCTGACTCTCAAACCAGTCTTGAGCCATGAATTACTTCACTGTGACTAAATCTATAAACAAAATCTGAGACTAAAAAGCAGCTTGGTTCTTTCAGCACAAATAAGGAACAAAAATTTCTCATTGATATGAGATATGGTCATTACTACAGCAATCTGTAGATCAGTAAGACCAGATACAGATATCCCAAAGTCACTCATGGGGAAAGGTCCCTTAATAAAAGACGGATGGCTAGAAAGAAGACAGTGGCATGGAGAAAGCTAAACCCCGAGATCCACTGGAACCACCAAAACTGAACTTGTGGCAGAGCAGCACTCCAGGGAAACCCCCAAAATGCCAGTGGCGTTTCTGAGTTGCACAAGTTTCTGCAGAGACCACTGCACTTGCAAACACTTCCCTCATGCTGGAGTGTGGGAAGGCCAGCTGTGAGGAGGCTCCTGAGCCACTCCACAGCTGGGAGGCCTGGCAGGGCCATGGCAAACAGGGGCTGTAGGAGAACTCTTGCTCCACAGCTGAACCAGGGCCAATTCAGGCACCTGTCAGCCTGGGATCATGGGAGTGCACAGCCACGACACTTGCACAGAAACCACTTAATGCAGGGTCTTCCTTTCTGTAATATGGCTGTTCTTACGATTACTGCTCAACTTTGTGTGTTCAACATTCAACAAAGCACCACACTGCTGAACACCAACAGGAAACAGCTCTGTGTGTAGGGATACTGTCTCAAGAGGACTGGGATTTCATATAAAGATATTCCTAGAGGCAGATAGAAATGAAGATTGACCTCTTTTGGCACGAATACCTCCCCCACATGGCTGCAGAGACTGCCCTTAGGGCAGGCATGTATCCTGCCTCTGGAGAACACACAACTGTGTGCACTCAACAGGGCACAACTATTTCAACCAACTTTCACTGCTTGTGAAACCAACAGTGCTGGCACAGCACCTGATCACACGCTTTGTAGAAGGAACAGCAACACCCAGGTTAGCTGGGAGAAGAGAACAATGGTACACACAATGCAGTATACAGGGATCTTCTTTCCCTTGTATCATCCAGTCATATTCACATTGCAAAGATCTATGCAGCTCCCACAGACGAGAAGTGTGGAACTTCAGGTGGGGTCACATGGCTCATTTGGTGCTCCTGCTGATCTCTTGGTTTTTTCTGTGAGATGGGCACTTGCAGTTTTCCTGAGGTAGCAGATACAGAGGTCTTCCCTTTATTCCTTTAATAAAAGCAAAAGTGAAGGAAAGGAGGAGAGGCAGACAGAAGTGCTGGAGTTTCTCATAAAAGATACAAACACACTTGAAGTAAAATACATTTCTGAAATACTCCATTGGGATAGAGAGCACAAGAGCCTCCAAAAGCAAACTTCACCATCTCAGGATCACCCTGAAGTATAATTACAGGTTTAATGTGACAAAACAGTTAATCAGTGAGAAATTCCTTTACATAAATAACTAGCCAGGCACCTGGCTCTGCAGGGCCCCGGGCGTTATCCAGAATGGACTTTTCCCTCACTGCCATCCTGCAGCCGGTCAAGGCAGCAGGACTGCAGGTGCTGTGCACACAGCAGGGACAGCAGAGAACACAGCACTGCTATGTCAAGGCATTCGTAGAACTTAAGTGCAGAAAGTGCTCATCAGAGGACAAATGTACCCACTCCTTCTGTTGTTCTGCCACCTTTTCTGCCAAGCACTTTACCAGGACAGGATCTACTTTGGAGTCAATCTTGTTGGCAAACCAGTGTCCATAATTCAGAAGCCACCTTAATTCTCCAGCCCCATAGATGCAGACACTGCGAAGGTGGGTACCAGTGCATGGAGGATACAAATAGTCTTCAAGATAATTCCATTTCACCAGACGAGTTTTGCTTTGTAAGTCTGTTACATCCTGGGATGACCTTGGAACTTCCCCAGGGACCCCAGGGACACGTACAAGAGTGGCCCAGAAATGTTCATCTGGAGAGTATGTGTCCCTTGACCACTCAAAAAAATCTTTTGCAAGTGAGCTTTCAAGGGTATATTGAATAAATTCTCGGCTTAAAACAAAATAGGCACTGCCTACAAATATCTCAATACCATGAGGTGGCGGATTTTTGGAAATGTTGGTTTTTACAGGCATCTGCATGTACTCATAAGGCACTTTCATAAGTTCATAATGATAAGTAAATCGTTCTCTTTTGCTACTGCTTGGCTTTGAAGTTTCCAGCATGTTTCCTCCACCGAGTTTCTTCAGTTCAGCGACCAGTTCAAAATTTGATCTCAAAGGGAAATCTTGGCCACACAAATTGATAACATACTTCCAAGGAACTGCAGAGTCCATCAAATCAGACAAACAATTGAAATCTGCTTGCAGACGTGAAATATGTGCGTAGTCCACTGTCTCCAATTTTGATGCAATGAAAATATTTGGGAAACATTTAGCTAGATTGTTCAAAGCTGATTTGAAGCTTTTTGCTGCTTTTTGATCATAATGGATACAGTAAATATTTTGACGACTGTACAATGAATGTATGAGCCTTTCTACCATTGCTGCATCTTTGTGAACAACCAAAGAATAGGCAATCGGAAAACTCTCCTCCTCTGGAGAAACAGGTTTTAGCTGGTATTTCCTAAGTGAACGATACACATGACAGTCACTTGTCATTGCTACAACATCTTCATCAGCTAAATCAACTATTTCTTTTCTTCTTATCTCTAAACTCTTGCCAATTTCATGAGGATCTTGTTCATATATAGATGAACAATTAATTTCATACTGGAACTCATTTCTAGGGTATGAATATCTGTTTCTAACATAAGAAGAAGTGCTCAAAAAGTGCTCAACTAAGTAAATGCCTCTAGAGGGAAAAAAGTGTCTTTCGACATGGAGGAGCTTCAGCAGTGCAATCAGCCACCCAGTAACACACAGAATCAAGATCTTCCTTCGTGAGGGACATTTGTAGGACCACTTGTGTCTCTTCATTCTGCAAGAAAAAAAATACATAGTGTTACTTTAAATCAGAAATCATCTCTGAAGTCATCAGAGACCATTCCAACCCCTAAGAAAGATATGTGCACACCGTCTGTCTACAGCATAAATACCACCTTATTAGGAAGGCCACTGGTAATCTCTAGTTTTTTCCTAATCACAATTTTAAAATTTCATTCCCCTGAATTAGCTAAGCGAAGGCAATAAACCAGACGATTTCCAGTCAAATAAGAGTATCATAACAAGACTCCCACTGGTCTTTTTCCAAATATTTTTAAAATTTCTAAATGAGCTACAAGCTGAAGTACAGCACACCCTGGATTGGCAAAAACATTACTGTCATCCAAATGAGTAGGAAAGATTATTTATTTTCCTGAGTAATATCAAGGCATTTAACGGGAGCAGCAAAGGGATGTCTAGTAAGTCTGAAAAAAATGTGTGCCTAATGGTAGATATTAGTATTGGTTTTTTTAAAAAGCATGAAACTGAAAGTTTTAGTATTCAAACACTGCATTCTTATTATCACAAACACTGGAGCTGGCTCATAAAGATGTTCAAGAGCAAATTAATTTTCTTCCTATCCTGTGCCAACAAGATCTGACAAGCCCAAAGTCTCCTTTCTCTCTTCAGATTTGTTCTGGAAAATACTTCTAACTTGCCATGAAGACAGAGGTGGATAAATACATAGCATTTTCATCCACAGGTATGAACATATAAAGGAAGTACCCTTCTGAAGGCAAAAGGGGTGCAGTAGTAAGGAATAGTGCATCTGTCCTGCTCTCTGCCGTGTGACACAACCTTGGATGTGACCACAAAAAACACATGTGGCCCCTTTTTATACAGCATGTTATTTTAAAAAAATTCCTGTGTAGCCCATTAACAACTGAGTCACTACCACAATAAAAGCTGAACACAGAGATCCTCTTCCACATATCTTTGCTTTACTGGCTGAGTGTAATCAGCACTGTTCCCCAAATCGAAATTAGACCAGAACCACATAACAAGTGCAGCAGTAAACTTAGCTCTACTTAGCTTAAACGAAACTCCACTTTGTTTTTAAACTGAACAGCTCCCACTGTTTCTTTCAAATAGAAACTTTCCATAGTGCTTCTAGAGCCAATAAAATGGTGGGGGCAGCAGATGTGGCTTGGATGCCTGAACATCTCACACATGTATGTGAAATGAAATACTGAGATGTGCATTCAAATATAGTGCAAGACTAACTTGGGCATCTTTAGCATTCCCTTTGATGTCAGGTCTTGCAAGCTGTAGCTACATTCAAATTGCAGCTTGTCAAGGCGAAGCTTTTTCATTTGTCTCTTCTCCCTTGACTTTGCCTTTCCCTATGCATCTTTGTCCTTAATATTTCTATTCGAGGGCAACAGAAAGAAGGAAATGTTATCTCCTGGGGGTTGCCAGGTACAGACCAGGGTCAGCCAACACATACCTATTTCGTAGAAACCAAAGCTCAGCAACTCTCTGCAGGTTTTAGAAACAGCCTCCAGGTATGCTAACAAAGAAAGAGAAAAAAACCAGATCTGATAGAATCATTGAATAGTTTGAGTTGGAAGGGACCTTAAAGATAATCTCATTCCAAAATCCCTGCCATGAGTAGGGGACCTTCTCCTATGCTTGAATAATTCCAGGGATAGGGAATCCACAGCTTCTCTGGGCAACCTGTTGCAGTGCCTCATCATCCTCAAAATGAAGTGAGACATTCATATCCCTATGAAGGCAAAAATCCCACATTCCCCCACAGCAAGCAGGTGCTTTAGTTCATCTCTTCTTCAAATTAATCCCAGTCCAATGTCTAATCTGGGTTTCCCCTTTACCTACTTCTTTATGTATCTGTGATCCTGGAAAAAATCACTTTTAAAAACTGCTCCTAACCAAAGGCAGGTTTTTAGTCATATGAAAAAAAAAAAAAAAAAAAAAAAAAAAAAAGCCCTGCAGAGGGGGAAACAGGTAACATGTCCTGGCTTTTTTCTTTGGAGGGAGAAGACCTATGTGATGTGGCCTTTCTGTGAAGCCCACCCCATGCCTCTGCCCAGCGTCCCCCTGGCTAGCAAGGACAATACCTACACCCCTGCCTGAACAGGGATTGCCTAAATCAAGGAGTGAATCTTCTCTTATTCTCTCCTTCAAAAAGGCAAGTCTGGACAAAGAAAAAGGAGGGGAAAAATCCAACACATTCCAAACTTCTCCCTAACCTCTCTATCTGTGTCAGCCCTGGCCAGCTTCTGCCCAGTGCCAAACATTCTGTTGCTATGAAACCAAACAAAGCCATAGAATATTAGAATGTCCTGAGTTGGAAGGGGCCCACAAGAATCAGTGAACTACAACTCCTGGCCCAGCACAGGATACCCCAAGAGTCACATCATGTGCCTGAGAGCATTCTCCACCTCTGGACCATGGGAGTACTGAACTGTGTCAGGCTGGTGCTCTGTGACCTTTCCCTGGGGGGCTTCTTCCAGAGCCCAGACACCCTCTGGGTGAAGACCCTTCTCCTTATGCTTAACTTAAACTTCCCCCAACAAAACTTCAGACTGCTCCCTCGGGTCTTGCCACTGAGAAGGAATCAGTGCCTGTCCATCTGCTTTCCCTCCCAAGGAAGCTGTAGGTCACTGTGAGAGCTCCCCTCAGTCTCCTTTGGGCTTCATAGACATGGATCTTTCACCATCCTTGTGACCCCTCCTCCTCCCCAACAGTTTTGTATCTCTCTCACACTGTGGCACCCAGAGCTGCCCCCAGCACTGGAGGTGAGGCTGCCCCAGTGCAGAGCACAGCAGGACAATGCCCTCCCTTGCCTGGCTGGCCATGCTGTCCCTGATGTCCCCAGGACACGGGTGGCCCTCCTGGCTGCCAGGGCACTGCTGACCATGTTCAACTTGCCATCAACCAGGACCCACTGGTCCCTCTCTGTGGCACTGCTTTCCAGAATCTCATTTCCCAGTCTGCCTGCACATCCAAGGTTGCCCCATCCACAGCTGCAGAATCCAGCACCTGCTTTTGTTAAACTTCATATGATTGGTGATTGCCTAGCCCTCTAATTAGTTGAGATGTCTCTGCAGGGCCCCTCTACCTTCAACAGCTCCTCCCAGTTTAGTGTCCCACTTTACATCTTTGAGTTTGTCTTGGGTTCTGTATCCAAGTCATTAGTGAAGATGATGAGGAGCACTGGCCCTAAGATGGAGCACTGTGGAACCCCACAGGTGACATGTCACCAGCCTGATGTCACCCCATGCACTTAACCCTTTGTGTCTGACCCATCAGCCAGCTGTTCACCCACCACATGACATATCCAGAAGGATCCTGTGAGAGACAGCATCAGAAGCTTCACTGAAATCAAAAAACATCACATCATCAACAAGGTGAGCTGCCTTGTCATAAAAGGGAATTAGTTCGTCAAGCAGGACCCTCCCCTCATGAAGCCATGCTGGCTATGACCAATGACTGCATTTTCTTTCAGGGGTATTCCAATAACTCCCAGAATAATCTTCTCCACAATTTAACCAGGCACTGGAGTTATCAGGGTCATCCCTCTTGCCATGAAGGAATTCTTCCTCATATCCAACATGAACCTTTCCTGGTACAGCCTAAGGCCATTTCTCATCCTGTTGCTCGTTGTCTGGGAGAAGAGGCTGACACCCATCTTGCTACAACCTTCTTTCAGGTTGTTGTAGACAACAGTAAGGTCTCCTCTGAGCCTCCTCTTCTCCAGGCTAAAAACTCCAGCTCCTCAGTCACTCCTCATATGACTTACTTTCTGAACCCTCAATCACCTTTGTTTCCCTTCTAAATCATTTATCAGTATAAAGGTAATTTCAGCAAAACCTGCGATTTCTTGATGAACAGTGGGAAACAGAGGGATTAAATCTCTTGGGACCATCACACACCTCATCAGGTTTTGACTCATCTGAAAAACTTTATTTGTTACCGTATGCAGACTCAAAGCCCTACTCAGACATGGAGCTGTACTGTGCCATACACACCGTGCTCTCCAGAGGAGCACAGAATGAATGAACAAGGCAGATGAGAACAGCAACCTACTGCTGTCCAAAGCACCTACATTGGGTAGCACTGACCAGATGCTAACTCTAGTTATCTTGTCCACAAAAACTTTTTCCTTAGGTGATGCCATAGAATACACGTGCAAGGTTCCATCTTTTGTATCAAGATTTTATATTATGATCTTATACTATGAGCTTGGCATTGACATCTGGCTTTGTTCCGTAAAATGTGTTACTTGTCTTTTCTACATGTGAGAAGACTCCTGAGGTACATTTGCTTGTTCCAGGACTTGAGGAGAGCAGGAGCCCCAAGTCTTCACACAGTGTAAGACTTCTATCCAGATCCCCCTGGGTTCCAAGGGAGCTTCCAAGGGCTTCCACGAGCCCCTTCACAAACCTGGGCTCCCAGGGAAATCCTCTTCTCCTGCCTCTGCACCATCCTGTCAATAAACCTCAGATTTTACCCTCTCCATGTTGGCCAAAAACAAACACATGCACTTGTATCTGATTAACAGATCCGTTATCAGTTTATTATGTCAAAAAATCTGCATTTCCCTTATCACTAGCACTAGTAATGAAAAAAAAAATTAAAGTCGAGGAATTGTCTCTCCCTTCACAACTGTTGCTCACATTCAGAGAAGATGGATGAAGATGGGTGAAAGCATCCATCCCTCGAGACCAACAACAGCTCAGCCTCACAAAGATCATAACCTCACCTGCAAGGGCTACTGTGTTAAATGTTTCTGAATTCATAAATCCATGCCCACTGCTCAAGATTCAACCCCAAAATGAAAGTGGGTGAAGTTGTCAGGAAAGGGAGGAAATCCTCTCCCCAGGTCCTCAGGCTTCATGTGGGAGGACTCTGACTTCAGGAATGTGGTAGCTGGGCAGTGACCTAGCTAAAAGCTTTCAGTCATGAACCTCAGGCATTAATTGCAACTCTTCTGATTGACAGCAAGGGTCTAAGTGGGTCTTCTGTGATAA